TATGTAGTTTGTGTATGTGCATATCTGCATATGAGAGCACAAAATATTGACATGATAATTGCAGTCAAGCCTGAGTGAGCAGTGGCCTGTGGGAATTCAGCTGGTGGTGTACCAACTGGATGGCTGCTCAGGACACAGTACAAAATGCAAGGTGCAAGTTAGCACTTTATTCAGCACAGGCAGGCATCATTTAAAAGTCCTTGGGGGCAACCCTGGTGATGTGCAGATGTTAAAACAGCCTGTTCTAAAGCGCTGATATTTCTGAACATTAGAAGAGACTTCTAGATTCTGAGTGAGAAATATTTACACATTTATTAAAGTCATACAATATATAATCTTGTCTGTTTCTTTCATGAATACTTTATGTAATGATCTGAGTATATGCAGAAATATCTGGACTAGAGAAGTATAGGAAAATCAAGACGTTTAATTTGTAATCACAAAACAGAAAATGTTGTAAGCTTCAACTTTAGAAATGAATTTAGTAGGTAAATAAGAGTATTTGTTCTACTATTTAGTAATACTTAAATATAAGTTATGTTCATATAAATGTAATTTATTACTTATTTACTTGAAATATTCATAAATATATTGCTAGTATCATTTACAGAATCATATATTAGCCTGATTTAATTCTGTGTTCTACTTTGGACCTACTTGATTGGACATGGAAATCAAATCAGTTATTTTTTATGTGGGAGGCTTATTTTACATCCAGGTTCTTGTTTTAAGATATAAATTTAGACATTTATTTTTAAAATATAATAGTTCTAAATTTTGGTTATTTCATAAAACGAAATTAGATGTAAAAACTATAGAAGTGTTAATTTTATATAACTGAAACACTGCAACAGATGTTTGTATTAGGATCTACAAACAATATACTAGCATTTTTATTTAAAAATAATTCTTACTATAGGATAGATTTCATGTGTAAGATATTTTTGCAACTACTTTTTCAGTTTTTCTTAGTATCTAATTCATAGGTATTACAACAGTAACTCTACATATTCAAAACATGAAAACAGTCAGAACACTTCATAGATGAAAGGGTAAAGAATTTGATAATAGTATAATTCTCATTTTCCTAAACTTCCATGTTTATCAGTCTTGCTGTTTTGGGAATATAAATGTTTACTAGAAATTGGGGATATTTTAGAAAATGAAAGCCAATACTACATATAAAATGTACATATAAGGGACACCAAATTTAGATGTGAGAAAACAGTCAGGCAGCTTTATTATGTTCTTTATTATTATATATCTGTCAATTAAGGACAATCAACCTCTGTAAGTTTTGCTTTTTAATTTTCTTTGTTTTCTAATTCATACCAATATCATTATCTCATTTACAGTTAAATGTTTCTTTTAGACTCTAATATTTCATTTTGACATCTCATTAAAAATGGGCTCAAGCCCAGAAAATATGATCCTGTCATATTGTATAATATATGACATGGTCTATAACACAATAAAAATTTGTTTCTTAATGATTTAGAATAATTTCTCAGTTTTGTAGTTTAGAAAAATGGCAGCAAGTTAGCATGGTAATTCCTGTGGCTGAGTGCAGCCGTGGTGAGTGTTTACATGGGTGGTTCTCCTGGGGAAAGTGTCTGGAGCTTTAAACTTGTACACATCTGACAGCCTTTCTTCACTCCATTTTTCATCCTAAAGAAGGCTGCACATACTCTTAGCTCACATCATTATTGCACATCAGTGGTTCTAATTAGCTGAACAGGAGTTTGTCTAAGCCATTGATCATCATCAACTTTTTGACAGGGTTTTCTTTTTCTTTCTTTCTTTTTTTTTTTTTTTGAGGATCCTTTTAAAAATATCTTGCACATACTGTGTACAAGAATTAATTGAATTATCCACATAAGTTCATGGTGTTATAAACAATCTGTTTTTAGATCATAATTTCTAAGTAAAAAGTATTGGTACATGTTGCAGAGTGTTCTGTTGGGAACATTTTATTGTATTGGAAGCATTAATTATTCTGTCCTACAAGAAGAGTTGTTGAACTATTTACATCAAGATTTTGAGTTGTCATTTTTTTTCCATTTAAAATTATAGTCAGTTTTAGATTTTTTTTGCTATAAAATGTTACTAAAGTTTATCTTTGAGTTTACACTTTGTATAATGTATTTAATTTGTGATCTATAGCTCCAGTATTGTATTACCTGGTCTCTTTATAGCCATGTAAATGATTGTTGTTGCAGTAGAATTTAGTGTGTATCCTAACCACTTGAAATCAGTCTACCTGTAACAAAATACATATGCATACTCAGGTGGTTCAAACTACAAAAAGTTATTTCTTAATGGTCCTCAAGTTAGCAGATCCAAACAAAGGTGCTGGCAAAAATGTTGTCTTTCTCAGTGGCTACCTTTTTGTATCTTTATAGGGTTTGTGTGGTAGATCATCTAATGTCTTTCTTAAGAGTGTTAAAATAATTAATGAGGGCCCTGCCTCTCTGACCACCAACCTTTGAGGAGCCCACCCTCAAATATCAAAACTGGAAATAGAATCTCAACATAGGAATTTGAGAGGGAAAGACATTTAGTGCTCCTTCCTTGGAATTTTTTGGTTCAGTGTGTCCAGAGTTGAACGCAGAGCTTGCACTTGTAACTTAGGTAATATTCATGCTATTGCTTTGACAGCCTGTGAGAACTAATGGGCCCAGGAGGCCTCAACCCTACACAAAGATAGGCACCTAAAGAATGCTAGGAGCAGGAGAAGTAGCCTTCCAAAGGAAAGAGCATACCAATTGATGGTCCAAAACCAAATGGTCAGCCCTGAAAACATACCTATGAGCAGTGTGTGTGTGTGTGTGTGTGTGTGTGTGTGTTGTAACTGGCATGTTGACTAATCTGGTTGGCTTGCCCTTGTAAGGTTCTTGTGCAGGTGACTTACTACAGTGATTTTGTAAGTGCTATGGTCACACCATTTCCACTTAACAGCATTTCACAGGACTCCTCTCCATCCTCGAGCTCTTATATATATTCTTTCTGTCCCCTCTCCCATGATGTTCCTGGAGCCTGGGGAAGTTGATATAGATACGGGCTGAGCACTAAACAGTCACTTATTCTGAACATTTCTACAAGTTACTGTCTCTGCATTACTACCCACTGCAGTTTTGCCTTCTAAGGTTGAGAGCAGCACTAATTTATGGGTATACACATAAATGTTTAAAAGGCAATTTGACAAGTCTATTAAGCAATACTACAGTAGTAGGTCCCCTTTCCTTCCAGGTCCTATAACATTCCAAATCAAGTTTTCAGTGTCAGGCATGAATTCTGTCCTGTGTAGAAGGAAGGCCTCAAATCCAATCAGAGAGCAACAGATTTTGTTAGTATGTTTATTCATTGTATAGCTTCAAACAATTCTTCATCTAGTGTGGTTAGGAAAAAGCAGTAAGAGTAGATAGTATCTAATTTTTCAGACCTTAAAAGTAGATACTATCACCAAAAACTGATTTGGGATAAACAAGTGTGATGATTGAATGCTGGAGTACCTCAACGTTTCTAGGTTAAGAAAATAGGGAAGGAGGGAAAGGGATGAATGATGGCACAAACCAGCAGCACAGGAGAAGGGACAACAGAGGAAGGTAAGTGCATGAAGTACTTCTAGAAGAAGGGCAGGACCACTGTGTCAAATGTTACACATATGTAAGGTAGAGAAAAGTTCTTACTAATGGCTGGGTTTCGCAATAGTCAGATCCCCAGTAATCCTGAGGAGAGCTTTTGTAGAAGAATGGTGAGTACAAATGCCTACTGGGAGGAAATTAAAGGTAGAATATAGATTATAAAAGTCTTTCCAAGGAATTTTATTTTTAAAAAACAAGCAGCCACTCAAGATGTGCCCATTGATGTAATAGTGTCCTGAAGGTTATGCAGGTTATCTGTTGCTCTCTGATTGGATTTGAGGAACCACCTTCAAGTGAAAGAATGGAAAAAAAAAGTATTCTCCTCTGATAGGCTTTGGGCTTGGGGGCTTCATGCTGTCAGTTTGACTGCCTTAATCTTGTGCAGGTCTTGTTCAGGTAACTACAGCTCCTGTGAATTGATACCTACAAGAACCTTGTCATGTCTGGAAGTCAGCATTTTACAGTTCTTCCTGTAAATGATCTGACCTTTACATTATTTCTACCTTCTCTTCATTGAGTCTTAGCTAGTGGGAGATTGATATGGATGACCTATCCACAGCTAAGCACTCATGCTTATTTATGCTCAGCACATTGATCAGTTATATCTCTGTATTAGCCACTACCTACTGACAAAAGAAGCTTTTCTGACTAAAGTTGAGAGCCACACAAGAATATGAGTATAAACGTGAGTATTTAGAATTTAGTTTGACATCACGACCATTTGGCAAAACAACAACTGTAGATTCCCCCAGGACCTGTTATCTTCCAAGTCATGGGCTTTTGACCACATTTGTACAAGAAGCAGAAATTCCCTCTGGTGGAGCAGGTAACCTCATATAACCTTCATGCCACACCTCGTGGACACTTCTTGTCAGCAGGTCAGGATTGTAACATAGAGTGTCCAGTACTGGGTATTGAACATTGCTATCATCAATCTGTATAAAATACTTACATTAATAATAGCAGTTTTACTTACTTATTAAAGTCTTGAAAATTATCTTATGATCAAAGTTAAATTATGTTTTACACATTGATTATCATCTATCTACACCTAGAAACTAAACTGTTTCTTGAAAATGAAGTTGTCACAGTTGTCAGTACTGGTTAAGGTGCTGTCACTTGCCATATGGTTTCTGATTAATTCTGAGAGAGCTGATGACACAGATAATTTAATTCTTTATACTTTAAAATTACATTTGCTACCAGGATGTGAGCATTTAAAGACTTAGTTATGAACTGGGACAGTGGTAGACACTTGCTTATCATATATGAGCTTCTGGGAAACAATACAACAGCAGCTGTATCATTGGAATGCCTAGGACTTATGACTCATAAACTCTGTTTTCCTATTTCTAGAGAAAAGCAGAAATCTGAAGCCAAAGACAGAAAAGTTCTGGAAATTTTACAAGTCAAGGATGTTAAAATACAGGAGCTGGAGCAGGTTGTATTCTAATAAGAATATCAAAAATTGTATTTGCTTCAGGTTGTAGATCTTTAAAATTATTTGAAGTTTGTGTTATAATATTCATTAAGTATACTAGTGTTGCTGCATGAAAGCATTGTTTTGAAACCACTGTATTCAATCTTTTATTATTATGCCATGTTCTTACCCTACTCTTTGTCTTCTAAATTGATTAGATATAAAACTCATTAAAATGTTTAACAGGCTTTGGGATTTTAAAATAGTATTTATTATGCATTGTTTTATTGTATTTTTATTTTTGCTACATTATTAGTCATGTATTTCTGATATGTACATTTTACATGGTTTTGGTTATAGAAAAGATTCACAATTGGTGAATTTATTTTTTGAAAATTTGCACAATTATTTGCATTATTTGCAATCCTATATTTTATATATAACTTAAATTACATAATTAAACAAAAAATTATAGTTTGCTTGTGCTTATGTAATCAGAATATTATTACCACAAAAATGTGTGCGCTCTCCCTAGACTACAAAATTCCATCCAATGAGCCTGTGGGGCTGCATTTTACAGTTAAACCATACCATTCTACCTTGTCTTCTGTGGCTCTTCTCTAGCTCATATTGCAAAATATATCCAGTCCATTTCCAAGAGTTCCTTATAGTCTTAGTACTGGCCTTTTTCAGAGCTCCAAGTTCAAAGGCTCTTCTGAGACTCAATTCAAACTCTTATTTATTGGCCATTATAAAGTTTAAAAGAAAAGAGATTACAGACTTCCATCACAGAGTAAACATTCCCATATAAAAGTAGAAGAATGGGGACATGGGAAGGAGGGATGGGGGGAGGGTTGAAGCTTTGCAGTTCTGTCTCAGAACTGTAGCTATGCCACTGCCGATTATAAACTAAGTTATACCGTGGAACCTTTTCTTTATTACAGGGAATGACATGACTTCTGATAACCTAGTATACTGCAGTTAATCAAATGTTGTTCTTTAGTATCCGCCCCCCCATCTCAGTACCTTCTAACAAGCACAGAAACAAATGTTGGTTTTCAGTTGTTCTTAGTTTTCTTCCTCTTCCTCTCTTTTCTTCATCTTTGTTTTACTTGTGGTGGCTTCATTCATTCTCTGTATGTTACTGAAGCTCTTATTTCCATTTTGAAAGTAGTTTGTAATTAATAATAAATAAACTGTACTCCAGTACTGCCTAGTAGGGTTTTAGGTTGTGTGCTGTTCTCTAATCCATACTTACTCCATAGACTTCTCTTGACCATGATTTAAATTATTCATTTCTTGGCTTGTCAATAATAAATTATTTGTTTCAGACATACTTTGTCTTGTTGCCCTTTATGCTTTATGGTTCCTCTGAGTTCTGTTTGCTATTTTAGTATGAACTCATGTCACACTCTTAGAAATTTATTGTATCTAGGAAAGATTTGCTAAAACAGTATCATAAATCTAAGTTTTAAAATTAATTTTAGCTGTATCTACCTGTATTTAAATTAGTTTCATTAGGAAAATATGCTTACGTTTATAGAATTATAAAAGTTTGAGAGTTTATCAACTTTCTGTCAGAAACTCATCTTTGAGTAACACTGATGATTATGCAGAAGAATATTACTTGTCCCACTAATTATCAGAATATAATAGTTTGGGCTAGCCAATAACGGACCTTACTGTAGCTAAAAGTTTTCCTGTGTCCTGCCAGGCCTGTGGTCAGGACAAATTTCTCTCACCTGCCAGTCAAACAGCTGCTCAAACCCAAATAAACACACAGAGGCTTATATTATTTACAAATGATATGGCCTGATGGCTCAGGCTTCTCACTAACTAGCTTTTACATCTTAAATTTACACATTTCTGTAAATCTATACTTTGCCACATGGCTTGTGGCTTACTGGTACTTTACATCTTGCTTCTCCTGGTAACATCTAGCAGCGTCTCTTCTCCTCTCTTTCTCTTTTCTCTCTCTCTAGTTGGAATGTCCTGCCTAACCTTATTCTGCATCACTATTAGCTAGACAGCTTTATTTATCAACCAATCAGAGCAACACATATTCATAGCATATAGAACAACATCACCCATCACCTTACTCTATGTTTTTATTTACAAATTAGGTCTATGTCTGTTTTCATATCTTACTAAATCATACAATTGCCAAACTTTAAATATTAAGTAACTCACAGATGAACTTGCCCCTTGTGTCCTTCATGTTGTGAGTGCTTGGTAATGTTTAGCTCCCTATAATGAGAAATCCTTGGTATGTATCCCTTTTTAGGGTTTGAACCTCTTCTAGAATAGATAATAAATACTCTTATTTTTTTTCCATTTCTTTAGAAGGATAGACCTATAGATGTTTTTATTTCTGAAGGGATTTAATGTTTATATCTTTGAAGTTATAATTCTTATGGGTATTGGGGTTTTTTTTTGCTAAGAATTTGTGCATATCATTGTTACATTCTATTTTTTTCATTTTCCTCCAGTACTTGGTTTGATGACTAACTCAATCTAATGAACCATTCATAGATTATACTCTTGTTGCTGAAATTTCTTCCTGTGGGAGAAATAAGCAATGTCTACTCCCCATCAAGTCCCAGGTATAAGCTGAAGCACAGTTCTACCAAAGCTTATTTTGAGGAGCCAATTAGTATTTTGGCTTTTTTATAGAGCCTAGGTGAGGGGTTATTTACAAGCGTGTGTAACACGAATCTGAAAAGGTCTTGTAATAAAAGACCCAAAGCGAGATATTGGGGTGAAAGCTGAAAGATCAGAACAGCCAGCCACTAGCATACCTCTACGAAATCCTTAGCCTCAAGGGAGCAAGTTCCTGTTTCCTCACACCTTATATACCTTTCTGTGTCCTGCCATATTACTACTGGGGATTAAAGGTGTGTGTCACCACTGTCTGGTTCTGTTTCTCTCATGTATCCCAGTGTGGCCTTGAACTCACAGAGATCCAGATGGATCTCTGCCTCCCAAGTGATAGGATTAAAGGTGTGTGTGCCACCACTGCCTGACCTCTATGTCTAATTGGTGGCTGGCTTTGTCCTCTGATCCCCAGGTAAGCTTTATTGGGGTACACAGAATATCACCATAGGGATGTAGGGGTTTCTCCCCTAAAAGGCTTCACCTGGATAGCTTTTACCTAGCAGACATGATGTCTTTTCATGGCCACATAGATAGAGCCAAACCTCTCCCAGTCTTCCTTGGCCTATATACTCCAGCCCTTCCTGAGACTACGTGCTACTAAGGCAGCGTTTGGGATAACAGGTAACAGGAAGGCCTCATGACCCTCTGCATCTCTCGACAGGGATGGATATATATAGTCAACAGGTCTAGCTGAGATAATTGTTTTCCAATAATTTGGACTCAGATGAACACTCCAAGGTGGCGATTCTTGGGCTCAGAGAATAGTTGCCCACAACTCTATGATTTGAAAAACTCATTCACTCTTGTATCTGGAGACATGATTAAGAGTGCTGTACCTGCATTGTCTGTGTACATTTTCTGTTAAAGGGGAAAGAGCTGAATTATATAGTGAGAAGAAATGGATATATCATAGTGTGTTCGTAGTGGAGCCAAATATTCTACCAGTATAAGTGGATTACAACTGTATCCACCCATATGGATGAATTGGGAGAAAATATTGAACAAAAATAGCGATACAGAACATGTATAGTATGATTTAATATTTAATATAAGTAATGTTGTTAAAAGTGAGGCCAACTAGATAATATATTAATAGGAATGTGTATTTCTTTAAACTGTTAAAAAGAAAAGGAAGATAAGAAAACAAGGTACATTCTTCCAGTACAGCTGTTACCCCTGGAGTGATTGGTGGTGGTGGTGGTGGTGGTGGTGGTGGTGGTGGTGGTGGTGGTGGTGGTGGTGGTGGTGGTGGTGGAGGGCACAGTTAGAAGATGAGGGAACCTTTGGGACTTCACAGGTAATGGCAACATTGTGGTATTTCCTTGGGGAGTGCTTCTGCTTTTCTTTTTCCTCATTTTAACCCAATCTCAGACATTAGTTTTAGATGTATTCAGTATCTAAAATACTTGTAGTAGAAGTAAAATAAAAGCAACATTTAACAATACAACTTCTTTTTTTCTTTCTTTTCTTGTCAGTTGAGAACTGGTGCTGTCTTTAAACCATTCCTCACATTTAACTGCCATTCATTTTACCTTTGAATCTTGCTCTAGCTTTCATATATCTTCCAGTCGTTTGGAGAGGACTTAATAAGGAAAAGATACTGAAATATAAAATGAATAGATGTTTAGAGATTTGAGCATCATTGTTATACCAGAGATAGAATAAAGGTTAGTTTCTACTGAAGTTTTTATTTAAAACAAAAACAGAGCCAGACATGGTGGTATAGAACTGTCATGTTTATTATTGGAAGTCTGAGGAAAGAGGATTGCCATGAGCTTGAGCCCAGCCTGGCCTATGTTCATGCCAGCTAGGGCTAGAGGAAGACTCTGCCTGAGACAACCAACCAACCACAAGAAATATAAATAACAGTCAACAACAACAACAACAGCACAACCCTGTCTTTTATTCTGTTCTGTCTGCTTCTTGGTTGTAGACAAATGCTGACACTGCTGGATCTGACTTGTAGGCTTCAAATAAGTGTGTGAGGCTGGAGAGCAAGTGCTTTCTAAGTGCTGGCCGAAGGGATGGAGATGTCAGTGAAAGTCACAGGAATCTAGGGAGGATACAGTAGCAGGATATGGTTTTGGTTTGAAGGGGCAACAGACAGTCCAGTAGAATTTGTTCCTGAAGGTTACAAATATGAAAGAGGTTACTGGGATAGGGTCAGGGCTCATGCTGTGCCCCACAGTGTTACAAAGAGGCATTTTCTGAGAGCAAAGCTATAAATAGAAGAGGCAGCTAAGAATTGAATGCAATCCTCTATTCCCCAATTAGGTATAGAATAAACATCTAGCTAGTGTGAATGATATTTATTTATAATTAGCATAATATTAGTCTTCTGTCTGGAACAAAATATTTTGGTACCCAACTTGGCCCTTTTTATTTTTATTTTCTGAAATGATTCATTCATTCTCAAAACCACAGTTGGTTTCCTAGAACTGTTTTCTAAATGTTATCCAGTAAGAGAATAATTATATCTTATTTTAACTATACATACATTTTCCTTGTTAGAATTTTAAATTAAATTTTGGTATCTTTTTCTTTCAGTATACTCAAATCTGTTTGTTTTCAATGTATGGTTTAGTATTTAGTATTAGGTTTTTAATTTGTTTCATTTTAAACAAATAAAAAGGCACCATGCTTGCACTTTTTAGGTGAAAGCCCATGAGTGTGGTCCTGGAAGTGAGAACTGTGGTATCAGACTTTACTATTAAAGCTAACATTAACAACTAAGATATAAATCCCATGAAATAAGCTGTTTTTTCTTAGACATGCCAGCTTACAATGGATTTAAATTTTTTTCACAGACTGAATCAGTCCTAAGACAGGAAATAAATGACCTTGTAAAACAGAAGACTATGGTTGATGAAGAAAATGTGTTCTTGAGGAAAAAATTCAGTGATTTACAGAAGAAATTTAAAGATAAAAGCCAGGAAGTTAAGGTGTGTTGACTTGAGCATGGCTTTACAGTACCTTTGCTTTGAAGTCCCCCTTGAAGTTTGCTAACCCTTGTGGCACAGAAAGTGACAGGCTTGCAGGAAAATTGCCTTAGGCCCTGCTGTACCACACAGTTTTCTCAAATGCAAAAACTCTGATAAAGATGCTTTAAAGCTAAGACTCAGAGCTTTATAACTTACAGATAAATAGTTAATGATGGGAATGGAGCTAAGAAAGTAGGAGTGTGAATATGTGGCTTCTAGTAATTAGATTCTGATGGGACTGGCATTATTAATTGATAAAACCCAGGTCTGGGAGGATATGTCTGTGTGGGTCTCAAAAATAGCTGGGGACAGCATCAAAGGCAGCTTGATCAATTAATGGGCTCTTTGCAAATGTGTACTCATCAAAGCTGTCATCCAGTGAAAAAATATGACCCATCCACCTGCATGAAAAGAGGCCAATAAAGTACACAGGTGACCTTGGCCATCAAATATAGAAGAAGCTGCTGTGGGGATGAAACTGCACAGTTTATATTTGCTGATTAGTTCTCACCTTTCTTTCCCCTTGTTTATCGGCCCTTATGGTACTCTTCTACAGGACACCAAGGAGTGTGTACAGAATAAAGAAGAGCAAAACAGGCTGTTTATAAAAAACCTGGAGGAGGAAAATGAGAAATTACGTACACGCTGCGCTGACCTGCTAAATGACCTGGAGAAACTGAGGAACCAGGAAGCACACTGGAGAAAAGAAAAACACAGTGCGGAGGCGAAAGTAAAGGTATAGGATGAGAGCTGAACCCATGCTGCTGTTCTGGGCCCAACCTCTTACAGGAAGTTTAGTCCATGTTTTTTTCTTTAAATAACAAGTTATATATTCAGATCCACCAGTGGGGACTAGCATTAATTTATATTCTTTCACTTAAGACCCATAGCTTTTTAAATATTGATGTTGCAAAGCAGGAAACTGACTTCAAATAGTTATCCTAAAATGTAATCATTAAAAAATAAAGGCTATTGCTTTTGAAATAAAGTATGTTTTGAAAAATATACTTAGAACCATTGGTTCGGCTTTTTAAAATTAAGGCTTACTTTTTCAAAATGGTCTAGAATTCATTACAATATGTTTTGGAGACTCTTTTCTGCTTCCTTTAAAATTACCATGTTAAAAAAAACCCCACAAAACATTTAAAAATACATATGGTTCTATGAAACTGGTTTTTTTGGCTTAAAGGGAAGACTAAAATAATATAATCGAGGATAAAAGTCTTTGTAATATTCTCTATAATATCCTCCCATCCACTTTGAGCATCATTTAGAAATAAAACATCATTCTCTGGTATTCTCTTTGTCATGAGCTTTTTGTTAATTTATTTTCCCATTAAATTTCAAATTTCTCTTTCATCATATATTTTATTGAAAAAGCCAGAAATAAGTAAGGCTAGTGAATATGGCGGTATTTTTGTGTGTGTACCCAAGGAAAGAATATCTCAGTGTATGTTTGCATATATCCATCAATATATTTTAGTTAAATAATTGTGTGTATGTGTATGTTTTCATGTTTGAATAAGTATGCATGAATATTGATAAGGGGAGAGGGATAAGTTGGAGCATGACTCTATCAATTGTAGATATTTTATACAGTTCAACAACCTAGTGAACCAGTGAGCCATTAGGGTAATTGAATCTTGATGTATTTTTTTAATTTTTATTATTTTCTTTTAAAGTTAAACTTTTAAAAATTTGGTAGTTTAATAAGGTTAAGTGATGCTGCCTTGTGTTCCTTTACAATTACATGACTGGATATTGTTTGTATTTTTTGTGTCATTCAAATATCAATTCTCTGGTGTGCTCTTGTTTTTAGTTGGGTAGCAATTTTGTACCTTGAATATGATTAATTGGCCTTTAAAAGTTGTGAATTGATAAGAATCTGTGTCTCATTCCCTTCTTTAATGTTCTTGATTTAAGAATTTTATGTCATAAAAATTTCCTTCTCTAAAGTATTTGATTGTTTATACCTCATGAGATTCAATAGTTTATTGATTTGAGAGTCAATCTCTCTTTTCATATATCCTTGTTTGAATGCGTTTGTTTATAGACTGTTATTTTTGTGATGTGAGGTATTATAGTTTTGTAATTTGAATCAATATTGGGTAGTAATGTCTACTTTATTTTTTGGTAAGGCCTTTATGTAATCTTTCACTAGGATATAATATTAAGAACAATTTTGTTAGTAAATTTCATTAAGAAGCAAATGGTTCCATGTTTAATTTAAAAATTAATTTTGAGAGAATTTTTATTCTACACTCTTGAGTGGTAGAATATGGTGTTACAGTATCCTCTAAACACTCTTTCTCCATTCTGATTCATGTGTGCATGGACCTCAGCCAGAAATACTCATAGGTAAGGAAAATATACTGATTTTCTCTCCTATATACACATTTATTTTCAGTTGTCTCTGGTAAAGTTATAGTGAGAGTTTTAGGTTAGATGGTAACTATTTTTAAGGTTTTGAGTAAATTGTCAGGCACTATTTTAAATAGCTGTATAAGAGGTTTTTTATTTCTAAATATCTTTGTTAATAATATTGTCTGTCTATTTTTTACTGTAATTAACCTAGTGACAGTTGTAAAATAGTATCTCATTGCATGCTTGCTTTTGGGGGTCTTGTTTTTTGTAGTAATGGGGATCGAACTTAGAGCCCTGTACATGATAATAAATGCTCTACCACTGAGTTATATCCCCAGTTCTCATTCTGACTTTAATTTGTATTTTCCTTGTGACTAATGATGTTGAGCATCTTTTCATGTGTTACTGACCATTTGCATATCTTTGGAGAACTGTCTATACAAATGCACTATATATAAGTCCCTCACCAGACACAGAATTTGAAACTATTTTGTTGAGTTGTTTGGATGGATTTTTACTTCATATATATATATATATATATATATATATATATATATATATATATATATATATATATATATATATATCAATGTATGTATGACTAATAACAACAAAAGTGTCTTCTTATATTGTACCAATCTAAACTTTTTCTACTGAGTTTATATAAACTATAAGCTGTACTATAAATTATTGTGTTATATATATGTATTATGTATAAGCTATTATAGTATATATACAATATAAGTTATATTGTACTAGTCTTATCTTTTGTACCAAGTTTATATAAACTTAGTAGGAAACATGAGCATCATTCTAAAATACAGCTTTCTGTGGTATTATCATTGTCTTGAGGATTTTGTTTATTTTCCCATTAAATTTCAAATTTCTCTTTCATCGTGTATTTTATTGCAAAGGACAGAAACAAGTAAGGCTAGCTTTTTCTCCTCCAATATCTGGGTCTATCAACTTATACTGCCATGAGATAATGGTGTTCATTTAAACACAAAGATGTTTTTCATTTTTTATGACTTTTGTCTATTTTTGTTTTTACTGTTGATCATTTTTTTGAGTAATATAAGAAACCAATGTATAATAAAAGATTATGAAGCCTGGATACTATCTTCTGTTTTATAGCTTACTATATCATGTATATATAATATTTTATCCATTCTTAGTTAACTTTTTTGTTTGTCCTCTTTACTTTTCTATCTTATCCATTCCATCTTGCTGGTCCCCTTGTTTCCCCCAGATAATATTTTCTCTGCTTTCAACACACACACACACACACACACACACACACACACACACACACACACACACACACACACACACACACAGACACACACAGACCTAGATTCTGAGTAGGAGAGAAAATAAGCCATGTTTTGTCTTACTGATAACTTTTTAATGTGGTGTGGGATATAGGTTCAACTTTTTTCACTCACATCTTTCAGTTCTACCACTTGTTGAAAATAAGTTTTCTTTTCCTCAGTATATTATCTCAGTATCCTTGTTGAATACCGTTTACTGTTATATGAGTTTATTTCTGAAATTTAGTTCTGTTCCTTTGCTTATATGTCTACTCTCATGCCTTTGCCACACTGTGCTGAGTACTGTAAATTTGTAGCAAATTTTGCATATTGGATGTGTGTCTTTGTGTTTCTTTTCTAAAGTTAGCTATGCCCAGTCTCTTCTATTTATGTGTGAATTTTACAATCAGTGTTTCCATTTCTACAAAACAAGTCAGATTTCATCAAAGGGGAGAAGAAAGACAATACATAAAATATATATAGTGTGGAATATTAGTTTAAGATGTGTTACATTCATTTATGCTGTGGAATATTTGGTTAATGATACAAAGATATGTTACATTCTTTTATGTTGCACTTGTTTAACTCAGTGAAGCTGTGTTACTTTGCCTGTCTGAAACACTTGATTGGTTTAATAAAGAACTGAACGGCCAATAGCTAGGTAGGAGAGAGAAATAAGCAGGGCTGCCAGGCAGAGAGAATAAATACTGGGAAAAATCTAGGTGTGGGAGAAGAGAGAAAACAAGAAGAGAACTAGGAACAAGAAAAGGAGAGGAGGAGAATGCCAAGGGCTAGCTACCCAGCCACACAACCAACCATGGAGTACGAAGGAAAGAAAGACATATAGAATAGAGAAAGGTAAAAAGCCTGAAGGTGATTTCCCCTTTCTTTGTCTAATACAAAATAAAAAAATAAAAAATGTTATAACTATGATAAGAAAAACTATATACAATAAGTACAATAACTATATACAGTATATACAAGCAATAAACACATCAACAATGTCTAGTTCATTTGCATTTGACAAATCCAGAGAAAATATTCTATTACCTATCCTACTTTGGTGAGTCCAAAATGTATCTAATTCACTTTCTATCCTAACTTATATTACCAACAGAATACTATCTTATGATGTCTATCAAACTTAAACACTTAACACTCCTATCTGAATTTCTTAACAAGGAAAATTGTAACTACAACTCTCTAATCTTCAAGTCCCTCAGTGACCTGAGAAGGAAATAATATTACCTAGTAAAACAGGAAGTGCAAACAAGTGACTTCTTGGTTTCTCAGAAAATTGGGAATCGATCTACTTCAAGACCCAGCCATACCACTCTTGGGCATATACCCAAGGAATGCTCAATCATATCACAAAGATACATGCTCAACTATGTTCATAGCAGCACTATTTGTAATAGCCAGAACCTGAAGAATGAATTAAGAAAATGTGGCACATATACACAATGGAGTTCTACTCAGCAGAGAAAAACAATAACAACATGAAATTTGCAGGCAAATGGATGGAACTAGAAAATATCATCCTGAGTGAGGTAACCAAAACCCAGAAGGGCAAACGTGGTGTGTACTCACTCATAAGTGGATACTAGATATAAAGCAAAGAACAGACTGCAACCTATAGAATCAGGAAGGCTACATAGTGGGAGGACCCTAGGATGACTGTGGCTTATAATAAGTTTTGATTTTACTCAATCAATGGACAAGCCTCAGTGAAACATTTCACTATTAGGATAAGAATTTGTACTGTATCAAGCTGATAATAGAAAAAATAAATAACTAAAAATGAAAAAAACCAAGCGACTTCTAAAAAATGAGAATATATGTAGGCTTAGAAGAGAGAGGAAAAGGACTATAGACAGTTATATAAATAAATAGAAAGTTTTAAAAAATTAAATCTTAAAAGAGAAAGTAAAAGCAATATAAAAAATAAAACACGTAAAGATGGAAGTCACACAGAGAGTGTGGAGTTAAATCTCTCTCTCTCTCTCTCTCTCTCTCTCTATATATATATATATATATATATATATATATATATTTTTTTTTT